TATTTCCAAAATTGACCTGTTAACATTTACTCATACATGTATGCAATTATTGTTAAAGTTTGTGTTATTTTAAGAAATGATTGTGGTTAAATTTAAAAGAAACCAACATCCTTAACTGGACTTGAATGTAGCCTCTAAAGTCACACGATTTATACTCCATGCTAGCCTCCTCCCTAAAGACATGATTAGACCAACTTTAGCCCTGCGTGAAAAAACAACTTCCTGGATTGTATTTCGTTGTCTCACTGGTACCTTAAACAACTCACCGCCACCATCGCAGCCACCTGTACTGCTTTAATGCAGGTCTTTGTGGTCTGAATTCCCATTAAATATTTTTGTGGCAGTCATGCTACTTCTGCCTTTCCTACTATTGTTTGCTGCTTATGTAAAAATCTGTACCTTTTAATAAAAAAGACCCAACATGATGTATCTGATTGTATAATGGTGAGAGGTTGCTTGTGAAGAAAATGGAAGCATAGATTGTCTAAAGCATTTGTACAAACAAATAGTAGTTGCTTTTTTGGTGAGGATGGTCTCAGAAATTCTTCCACAGTTTGGAAAGCTTAAGTATCCAAGAAGCAGATCTCGATTTATGTTGTCTTGTAGTGTTTCCCCTTTTTAAACTGGCGCAGCCACACATATACCTTGTAAAAGTAATTTTATATCCGTAGGACAGATGGTCTTAGAAAGATGTACTTTTTTTCAATGAGCCAGATGACTGTTCACTTCCCTCTTTCATTTCTTCTTTACTAATGCCAGGGCCCACCTGCCTTGACCACAATCCAAAAACAAGACACTTAAAACACATGGCTCGATCACCGTTAGCTTAATACCTAGTCATTAGCCGCTAATAACCATCATTTAATAGTGAATTCCTTGTTATCCCTCCTAAATGAGGCTTGATAAGAAATTTGTTAATTGACGGGAAACTCAAACTTGCAGCGGTCCATGTGTTTTGCTGAAGTATTATTCACTCTCCGTGACTGTGTGTGTTGCTTTAGCTACTGGATGGGGTAACCCCAGTCACTTGCCTCCTCAACACCTGTGTTTACTTTGGGGCCTCGGCCCCCATGACCCAGCAGCAATCCTTCACTCACTCAGAAGATGGAGTGAGGTTCCAGCCTCCAAATATGTGCTGTTCGTGCACTTTTACCACTGTGTGATTTCTCTAAGACTTTCATTATGGGGCATGAGCCAAACGACTAGTATAAATTACAATCCTCTTCCAAATTCTAGTAAATTTAAACATTCAGATCCTGTTCTCTTTTACTCTAATGTTAAGTTAGGCTAAGAGCAGACATTGGCTTTGGCGCTTGTCCGCGCTTGTTGTGGCTGTTGAGGCTTTTTAAAGTGCTTTGGGTATGGAAAGTGGATTTGAGGAGCCATTAATGTAGAATAACTGAACTTGTCTTCTTTTCTGGAGGCAGACGGAACTGGATTCAGTAGTTTTGAATATTCAGCATGAAAGAAACAGATTTATGACTGGGGGATTTCTGGCTCCAACTAACAGGTGTTTTTCATGGAAATCTAGGGTTATTACTTCGTCTCACAACTGTGTGCAGGACTAAATATTGAACCTCAATACTATTTTGGTACAGAGCAGATGTATTCATAGCAGCATGTATTGGACATTTGAAAAAATGCTAAATGGACTTCACATGTATAGCGTCTTTCTAGTCTTCCAACCACTCAAAGCGCTTTTGACACAACAGTCACATTCACACATTCATTCACACACTAGTGGCTGAGGCTACTGTACAAGGTGCCACCTGCTACTCAGTTTAAAATGCACTAACACAGAGATGGAACAGCCATCGGGAGCGATTCCAGGTTCAGTATCTTGGCCAAGGACACTTCGACAAGTAGACAGGAGGAGCCAGGAATCAATCTTCCAATTAGTGCATGACCCACTCCACCTCCTTAGCCACAGCCGCCCGAATATATCCTGACACAAATCATAAATTTGAAAATTTTAGACTGTTTTTTCATGTTTATGTCTCAGGGCATAGCAATTAGGATTACCCAATTGCCTGCAGCAAATAAAATGCCACATTTGGCTAGTAAATTTAGCAACTTGCCGGATTGGGCAAGTGGGTTTTATGATTTTCTTCCCGAAGCTGATGATGGACGTAGCTAAGGAGTGAGCCATCTTGCCCCACTCTCATCTCTGTTAAGAGTTGCACATGTGCCATATTGATTGGACATGCTTGAAAAAGGCGACTGGCAGGTAAAGACAAAGTTTATGAGTTGAAGCACAAGTGAGCTTTTTGATTCTCCTGGAAACAAGAGTTTAGCTGGGTGGTGTTAGGGGATATGGGCAAAACTCCAAATATGTATTGCACAGTTTGCAGCAGGCTAGAGAGCAAGGCAGATAAAACAGGCACTTAACACTCATCAGTGCCCAGTGTTGGGGAACTTACTTTTAAAGCATAGCTTTGCAAGCTACCAATGACTTCTTACTGAAGAAGGTGAGCTACACCAAAGCTGTCCGAGGGGGAAATATAGTCTGTGTAACTAAACATAAAAAAAAATAGTAGTTCGAACTACTTTGTAAAAACTAATACAAAATTATAACAAAATATAACACAAAAAAGTCACATGCCAGCAAAAATGTCAATTAAGAGCCTACTTGTTCACAGGTCATAAACCAAAACATTGAAATACCCCACTATTCATAAGAAAGTGCAGTGGCATTTTAGGTCTTGTATAGTGTCCATCAGTCAGACAGCTGCCTTTAGAAACTAGCAGTGACGGACTCAGGATGTTTGAAGGGTAGGGGCAAAAAGGAAAAAAGGGCGCCTACTGCATGACATGGGGACAAGAGGGCAGCCAAAAGGGCACATCCGCTCATTTTCATCATTCAAGAGGGCAGCTGATAGGGCAAATCCTCTTGTTTTCACTACTCAAGAGGGCAGCCAAAAAGGCACATCTGCTCGTTTTTATCCAATAGGGCACAATGTCTCGTTGTCATTACTCAAGAGGGCAGCCAAAAAGGTGCATCCTCTGGTTGTCATCACTCAAGAGGGCAGCCAAAAAGGCGCATCCTCTGGTTGTCATCACTCAAGAGGGCAGCCAAAAGGGCACATCTGCTCATTTTCATCCAATAGGGCACATCGTCTTGTTTTGAACACTCAAGAGGGCAGCCAAAAGGGCACTTCTGCTCATTTTCATCATTCAAGAGGGCAGCTGATAGGGCAAATCCTCTCATTTTCGCCACTCAAGAGGGCAGCCAAAAGGGGCCATCCTCTCATTTTCACCACTCAAGAGGGCAGCCAAAAGGGCACATCTGCTCGTTTTCATCCAATAGGGCACATCGTCTTGTTTTGATTACTCAAGAGGGCAGCCAAAAGGGCACATCCGCTTGTTGTCATCATTCAAGAGGGCAGCTGATAGGGCAAATCCTCTCATTTTCGCCACTCAAGAGGGCGCTTTATTGCGGCCTTTTCAACCGAGGTGGCACCAGGGGGGGCCCCATCCCCTGAGTCCATCAGTGGAAACTAGAGTCCAGGTGGGGGTACTGGACTGAGCAGGATTACTCAGATATGGAGGTAACTTGTAATATAGCAACAATTTCTCTGAACATTTGTCAATAAATATGGCTAATTAATACTTGCAACTAATTGTGGTCAAAGGGGTTCAATTATAGTGGAGAAATAAAAAATAATTCCATTTCTTTTATTGCCCAAAATTTGTTCAGTTATTAACCGCATCAAAATGGCAAAAAATATTTTAACTACTTGAATCACTTTGCAAATATGAATGTAGTTTAACTATCAGCAAGCTACTGCAGAAACTACCGGTTAAATTACATGTAGTTCACTGCTCCCCAACACTGCCAATGTCTATCTGAAGCAAGTAGGTAAGTTGTTCCCACAGTGCACCTGTAAGTGTAAGGAAAAGGGCTTGCATGATATAACACCAAACACACCAGTGTTTCACCAGATATAAAAAATGAGAAAGAAAAGACGCAAATTTGTTGCAAACACATGAAAAAATGGAAGAAAATTAAAACTATTCAGTGCAGGTTATTGTTTCACATGGTTAAAGTCCATAGAAACAGTGGTGTTGTAACTTTGATTTAGTGAATGGCCTTTCTACATTTTTTTTACCGTCTTTCTTCTTGAACATTCTCAACCACAACTGAGAGGCTCCCAATGACCTGTTTACTGCCTTTAAGACGTTAACTCGCTGCGGATCTGATGAATGTTTTGCACAGTCAATCCTGGACGCGAGCCAGCGTTCTGTTGCTCGTACTGCAGTGTTAACTGTTCAAATATTAGTGCCAATGTTTTTTCAGGTGTGGATACATCACAGCGCGCCAAAACCATGTTTCCATGGAAACAGGCCAGCCTAAGTGTAAAAAGCTGCCATAGTATCACATATAAAGTCATTATACTCTGATATGATGTTACTCTGCATACTGAAATTAGGAAGGACAGCTGTGACACTGTGACATTCTGCATGATCGCTGTAGTTTTCAGGTTTCTTTCAGAGTAAAGACACTGACTTATCAACATTTTTTATAATTTCTGTTTAGAAATGGTATGTAGAGTATTTGGGAGTGTCCTGGGAGTTTGGCAGCTTTGGTGAAGTGTTGTGTGCTGACACATTAGATGCTGTCTGGAATCCACCTCATGACTTTGACTGCATTTCTGTTGCATCTACTTAAATCTACATTTTGTTTTCATCATACATTTTAATTAAGCCCTGTTAAATGTTGTATTGTACTTACTAAGGAAAGTCATGGAGACATGGAAAAGGAAATATCCCTCCTCTGCAGTGTCAGATCAGATTAGAAAAACATTTTACTCAATCCATTTCAATAAGGATGACTGTTTAGTTGATTGTTAATGTTAGAGCAGAGATAGGCCAGAGTACCCCGCAGCTACGACATGTGAAAGGGTGGAAAGCTTCCATAAAGAACCTTTAAGGCTTCATGTGACTTTTTTTTTTCAGGTTAAGAGAAACATTTCAAACCGTTTGAGTGTTGTCTTTTCCAGGACACTGGCAAGTGCAGGAAAAGAACTCAAAGATAACTTCCTGAAAGCCCTGGCAGAGCGAGAGGAGGCCAACCGCAGTGGGAAAATGACTGTGAGTACATTATTACAGCACTCCAATTGCTACGTAATGGGATTCCCCTCAAATATTTCTGCAATTCCATTAGGATGGGAACAAAATCCATACTGTGTCAAGTTGAGTGGAAATGCTCCCCCCATCCCCTCAGCCCCTCCACCCACCATTCCTCCCCAAATACCATGAGAGCCAGCTGCCCGCCCCTCTCCCCTCCATAAAACCCCGTTTACCAAACTCTAGCTACCTTTTCCAAGGTGTTCTTTTAGATAGAACTGATCATTTCTGTAGGGGTCTCACCTGAAGAGCCGGGGTACAGGCCTGGAGGAGTATTCACAATCTTCGAAACAAAATTATGTATTTTCACAGCATAAACTGTACAATTAGTATTGGTATCAATATTAGTCTTATGGTGTATTAAGAACTAGAGCTTGTTATTCTTTTCAACATTTGTCTTCCTTCTTCTCAGAGACATTGCATGCCCACAGCAACATCACACCATACCTCGACCCTTCTGTTGTGGACGCATATTTTTATGCAATCATTCTCTCAACAATACGCTACTGACTCCCAATTTGGTCCCTCAACAGAAAGGAAATCATCGAACCAATAGCAAAACTATACAACAGAACTTACAACATCCATGGGAACCTTTTCCCTTTGACTCATCACTGCACTTCACTCTCCCTCAATCATAACACCCTGACTTTTCAGGACTACAGAAATAATCTAGCCATTAAATCTTCTCCAGTTGGACACTTATTGCTCTACTTGCTCTACTCTAGGGACATTGTGTAACATTTTCAGTTGTTTATTGGCAAAAATTGATGTCTGCATTCATAAATATGTCATCACTGGTGTACTATTACCTCCACCAATAATCTGACTTATTCTCGTAAAAGGAGAATTTCGGATTTGCTTGTACATTGTGCGGGTAAGTTGTCTGTGGGGTTCCATAATGTTTCGCCATCTTGAGAATACATCCGCCAGCAAGGGACATACAGCCCCACCTTCGGCGTTTTCGTTGTGAGCCAGGCCAGCGCTGCGTGACTGAGGAGCTGAAGGAGAGGAGCAAGAGGCGCTTCGCTACTACCCCGGCAAATTTGAAACAAAGTCCCACTCTTTGAGCATAATGCAGGATCATGTATATGCAGCATCATGGGAGACGGAATCCTCGTCGCCAAGAAAGCACAAATGGGAATAGAAAAGGCAACGTGACTGGTGAATTAAAAAAACGAGGGTCCACATTGGGGTAGCCTTTCCCAGGTGGAGAGAGCTGCTGAAGGAGAATGGTAATGCAATCGCCGGTCACGTTGCCTTTTTGACTCCCTTTTGCGCCTTCTTGGCGACGAGGATTCCGTCTCCCGTGATGCTGTATAATACATGATCCTGCATTATGCTCAAAGAGTGGGACTTTGTTATGCTGCAGTAATGCCGGGGTAGTAGCGGCGCTGGCCGCTAACAGCGGCTAACAGCTGTTAGCGGCGCAGTGTTGCGAGGAGAGGGATGAGGTGTGTGAGGTTGAGCCACTTGTCAGTTGTCATAGGACAAGACGTGATTGGTTTGTTTCCATTTACACCCGCCCCAACAGTCCTACGTTGTAAACACAGCCAGCATGGTGAGGAGGGGGTTTGTCAACTTGTGTCGCGCGTGTCTGTGTAGCAGCCTGAATGAATACTCCATGTAGTATCGGATGACATGGTTTCATCAACGTTATCATAGCTTTTTGGTACACAGCGACTACCGTTGTTGCAATAGGCGTTTGAAACAGTGAGGCGCTAGAGTGCACTATCCGTTTGAATGCAATATATGATTTTAACTTTAGACGGGAGAAATTCTTACACACTGTGGCTTTAAGACGCAACACAAGACGACAATGCGTGACTAGATCAATTGCACTTACACTTATTCCTGTACTGCCATACATACTATATTAAAGCAATAATCTCTCAGTCAATCTCAATTACACATTTCAAACATATTCTGTATACAAACACACATATTGTAAATTTGATTTGAGGACATACCTGCAACCGCCGATTCAAATCACATATACCACCATGCTCACTCTACATAAGACTTCTACTTGTAATCTCAGTGTAGCTCCTTATGTTCCATTGTTGTCTTGCCTCTATTCCTTTTTTGCTTTTTAAAAGTAGACAGTATACTGCTCCAGAAATAATTGCGATAAACAATATTATTGTCATTTTAAGACCATTTTATGCCACTGATACAATAGAATAATAGTGCAAGTGTACGCTTTCAAACAACAATGGACTTTGAATCCCTGAGGGCATGCACACAGTTGGAATTGGAATGTGGAAAACATTAAAACATATAAAGATTAATAAAACAAATAACCAAAAATGTCAGCAAAATGTGCCTCAGCATATATGTGTTAAACAAAAAGTGTCTCATCACATCCCCATCAGGAACACCCTGCTGTTTATTCAGGTATTATTTCAGGTTAGCCAAAATGTTAGTGGCATTCTTATGTTAACAAACACACATGTACACACAACGGGCAATATTATACGATATGATAGGGTCAATGTCATGTTCATTTCTTCATCTGTCAATGTAATGGCAATTTTATTTATGTAGTACATTTCTTTACATGTGAAGTGAAAGTGTTTTACAATGAAAGACAACAGATAAAATTAAATACGAGAACATAGTTTGCATAAACATATATAAGTATGAGCAATAGTCATCAATATTGATATAACAATATGGAGAACACACAAACATCAACATGATCAAGTGCGGTCAAGTGAGTATACACACACACTAATTAACCATATGCCTGGGAGAATTAAACGTCTTGAGTTTGCTTTTAAATGTGGATCAGAGTTGTGCTGGACTCAGCAGGACCACAGCAATGAAAGGCATCCTCACCAGAACTGGATCTAATTCTAGGTACAGCTAGAAACCCTGTGCCTGCTGACCTGTGAGGCCTGATCCGGTTATAATCAATGACACTCAGTGTAGTATAAACCGAGCTGCTTATGGACTATATCTGAGCTGTTATGCTTTTATTTCATCATCTGCAAGAGGTGTAAAGGTCAAGTATATTGTCAGTCTAATGGCAAGCATGGGGGCCTTGGTAAAGTCCAAGATGAGAAATGGCATCTTTTGAGATTGAGAACAGAGTCATGAGTTGGTGCGGGTGGTAAAGTGGTACTAACTAGATATAGTTGAGCTCATGTCTTCACAGCGTCTGTGCAGCATTTTTCAGAGCTGCCAAGTATGGGAGGTGCCAAGAAGATGCCTGGCTGAGTGCTGAGAGATAAGGATTCCCTTTCAGATTTCTCTGGCAGAGATTTCTGGCAAAGATCACTGAGGTAGTCTAAAAGCTTTGCAATGGTAATGTGGCAGGAGTTTCTTGTGGTGGGTACAAAATAGAGTGGCAGGACCATTATGACTTGTTGTCTGAGTCCGTTTTTTGTTTATCTGCAGAGCGAGCTGTATCCATATTCTCCACAGTTGGCCAGTAGCAGCTGAGCTCTGCAAAGGCCTGGTCACAGGTTCTGTTTGTGATTTTCATGGACAGAATCTCCAGGTGCAGCTGATGAGTAGTAGAGAGAGTCTGGTTGGCTGCATCAGACCGTGACCTCCAGCACACACTGGGGCGGCTTACAACAGAGTGTGAAGCGGTTGGAATGAAAGTCCACACCGCCGAGGTGCTCTGCCAGGAAATGGTCAGAAAATGCCTCCTTTGGGTTGGAGCTCAAATAGTTTTAGGACTTAGGGATGGGTGCTATGGCTAAAAATGTTACCACGAAAAAGTTCTTGTAGCAGTCAGTATCGATGATTATCATGATAAATGTCAAATCAATTTCTTTCATGTTTAAAGGCTGATTTTTCAGAGGGCTTTACAGCATACGACATCCCTCTGTGGCTTGAACAATTATTTATTGTCAGAACATGACAAACTCTTGCCAAACAGCGGAACATTTCACAGGTCTGAGGTGGATACAAAACAGTTATAATCAAATAATATCAATTAACGATAAATGGACAAAGAATTGTTAACTCCAGTCAGCATGTCAAACCTTTTGCATAGGCGGTTTTAAAAATATTTTGTAAGTGTTTTAGCCGACAATGTAACCAAGAAAAAGAAAAAATCCAACTGTCCTCAGTGTTCTCTGTACAAGTTTTGGATGTTTGGAATATTCGAGACCTTCCTGAAGAGGTGGTCTCAGTCCGGTTACAAACGAACTCTGGTGCGGATCGTTTGTGGTGAGAAGGTGTTCCGACCTGGATCTGAACCAACTGCAGTCACATGACACATTGTTTGGGTTAAACATGAGCATGTTACAGTCCTGGAGGATTATTAATGTGCACCTCCTCCTGTACTGCCTTAATATGCACATTCAGCACATCCAATGCATCAAAACATTGTTTTCTAGTTGGAGCTGCGCCTCGTTTTCAAACTGTATGGTTTGACTAAAATGAACAATGACAGCAATATAGTCCACTATGATCAGCGTTAAAATCAACCTGCGTAGTTGTCCCTCCATTGTGACATTAGAAAGTGTCACATTTATCTTGCAAGTGTACTCTTCTTCAGTGTTTGCTTTACTTCCTGGATTTTTCCAACATGGAGATTCTGACCAATCAAGAGCAGCTTTCTCACACAAGGCATTTGATCTGGTCCTCTTGTAAATCCCTGTAAAATTATACAACTTTGGAACAAAATGAGTCCCTTAAACTGTCGGTCTGAAAGCACCTTGGACAAAAATCATATTCAGAGACAAGTTAACGTGTTAGTCATGTTGTTACATATCATTCTAATGAAATAGCTGCAAGTCAATTACGTTAACTTGCAAAGTTACCATTAGCATTAGATGAGTTGACTGTACAGCTATTGTTGCTAACGTTATGTGGCAAAGTCAGTCTTGAGATAGCACTGCGCTGTTATCTGTGGTCAAAACAGTCATACTAAAATTAACTTTTAGAAGTTGCTGTAACGTTATAACGTTGAGCATTAGCCTGGTGGCTGGTCTCATGTCCTTCTT